GGAAAACTAAGTAATTTTATGAGTGTATTATTGCATTTTCAAAACTCATTATAAAATTATACAGAATATATTTATTTTATCTTTCATTAAGAAAGCTCTGATATTATATTTAATTGATTCATTAATAAAACGTTATTTTTCATTTGGCAATTTACTATAATATTCATGTAATCTTCATCATTCATAAACAAGCTATAAATCTGGTTACATAAATTTAATGTTACTATTAGCATAAGTATTTCATTGTTGCCTAATGTAAATATTTATAGTAATATTATTGATACAATCTCAAATAATCATTCAAAACCGATTAGCTTTCGATTTTATAATTTATTACAATATAATTAAAGTAATTGCAATTAAATATTTTACGTCTTTGTTTTTTACTTATCTCGAGAAAGAATACAAAATGATTGTTATTTTATTTGGATTGCTACATTGAATTGCATAAAAGATGGGCGAGTGTGCAATAAAATGCAAGACAGACCGATGATAATAAGTTTTTTATTCTCTGACATAAATAAAGTTTGAACATAAAAACTCATGTTATATTTGTAAATTTGCCGGAAAGAAGTATGCTAAATGTGATTTGTATACTTTTTGTCTATAATAACTTATATATTCACTATACTTTTAAAATTTATAAACAAATTAAATTTTAATTGAGAAAAATAAATAATTTATGTTTTTATGTGTATACATTTTCCTATTATTTATGTATACATTTTCAAAATCCTCGATTCAAACAGTTAACCGCACTATGCGAGTTATGTTTACTATACACACTGTAGTACTATAATTCATTGAAATGAATTCATGAATTCCATATTAGAATTCGAGTAATAACCGATATAAAATAAAGTACTTAAATTATTTTATAGGTTTTGGCTGTATTTAACCCATAAAAGCTACAATATAATGTTAGTAAATGATGAGATCGATCAATATCTTAATAAACTCTTAATTGGTGATAAAGTAACAGAATATACAATTTAATGACAACATTCAGTTAATATAAATACATTACTTATTGGATGAATAATAATGTCAATTAACTGTAAAATATATCTTCTGATTTCTTTCTTAGTAGCAGCAATACACAGATTTATTATTATTTTTCTTTATTTATAATAATTTGATGAATTTATATTTTAAATTATTCTCATAAAATAATAAATTACCAAAATCAAAATAACACGGAAGGGAGTAGTTGTACTCCCTTCCACCCTTTATCCTTTGATTATTAAAAATAAACTACAACTCTCTCTATATATATTTTTTTTTCCCTTATTCCTGTGTTGTTCATTAGTATATTATTATTATTATAATACTGATATTATTTCATAATAAATTTTATGTTCCCGGGCGGAAAGACCTCGGTCGTTAGCCCTTTGGCAGCCTATTAATATATATTTTTTTATTGTATGTAAAATTTATTTATTTATATATGTACACCTTTGGACTATTAATATATATTTTTTTATTTATATAAATTTATGTTCCCGGGCGGAAAGACCTCGGTCGTTAGCCCTTTGGCCAGCCTATTAATATATATTTTTTTATTGTATGTTAAAATTTATTTATGTATAAATTGTACTTTTTTTTTCTTCTTCTTATGTATTGATGTTTGGCCAATAAATTATTATTATTATTATATATTATTAAATTAATAAATTATTTACTGGATTTGTTGTCTAAAAATATTGTAGCTTTATTTTAATAGAAAACAACTTTTATTCCAAATGTTTTTTCTTTTCATTTTTTATATAAGTTTCAATTATATTCGTTGTATCTCACTTTGAGAGTGAAAATTTAAAAAATGTCTAACATTGGTTAGTATATTGCAACACTTTAAATACAGGGTGGCCCAATTGAACTAAAACTAATTTAAAACTGTTATATAACATTGGCAATGTTGTGTCCATATTTCGCCTAATGATAGCTGATTATTGTTTACTTTCATTTTTTGGGAAAAAATATCAGTGTTGGAATGCAAACGTAATAGAGTCCTCGAACACCTTAATGTGAAAAAATCTTTCGTATCTCGAACCATAACATATTATAACAAAGCTAGTAGTGTAACAAAATGCTATTGTGGTGGTCGGAAAATAACTACATTTGTGGTTTGGTAACTTAAGGCTCGAATTGAATGAAATCCGCAAAAATTAGAAAACTGTAATTATTCATTTTACAATATATTTTCTACTTCTTTAGTTTATGTTTAAGAAAGTACAAATAAATTTATATCATTAATCTTTAAAGATTGAATAGAAAATTATATTTTTATACTATTTCTCATTACAAATTTGAAGTTTTATGAAAGATCTGTGTAAAAATATTAATTGTACGTTTTAGAGATGTTAATGAAACATCGGAATTGAGTATTATTAGTGCATTAAAAAAATCTTAGATGAATATAAAATAAAACACTCATTAAAACAGAACAATGAATTTGCATGGCACCATTTGCTTAATCAAATAAATAATTAGAGGATATGAGAGATGGTGTAATTAAAAAAGGCGCCGAGTAAATAATCCGTTATTGGTGCTTCCAGCAATAAAAGAAACCCATGCAGACGTGCAATGAAATTAATTGCTTGCAAAAGCGTAATAATTCACTCGAGCAATGACTCTCTAGTATAATTGATTTTTCTGCTGCTGCAGCAGCAGCTCATATGTATGTACCATTGTCTCGTTTTTTTGTACCACTCTATTTTTTTTTAATGTTTAGTCATTCTTTGTAAAGTTCTATGCGGTCGCTGCTACATTGTTCCAATCGTACGTAGTTGCGAACTAGAATAAATTTTATTTTATATTAGCCAATTTGATTGGCATTTGTGCAGACGTATAGTAAATGGCCGAAAGCAATTCAGTGGAACAGGGGTGTAGGAGGGTGCTCCACACCCTCACGACCCCCCCTTCGACATTCGGAATTCAATTTATAACCAGGGGGTTTGGCGGAGCAGAGGGTGGAATACACACCCACACCCAATCGAAATGCAACAAATCCATTTGAAGGTAATTGCTCGTAGATTACTGCTGCCAAACATAAATTACTAATTCTATCGAAAGTGGAAAACCGAACAAAACATTACTAAAAAAACTAGTGCTGTGTGAAATTTATGTTTTAATTGAAATATTTTTGGTATAAACTTCGACGATTTATCAATAAATATATCACACTACACATTGATATAATTACAAATGAAGATTTTAAAGATATTAAAAAATCGGTTATAATTTATATTAGTCAGATTGTAGTTTTGTATAATTAAGAAAATTAATTGTGTATTTACTTGTTTGTTAAATTTTATGATAAATAGTATATGAACTTGTGTATTCAATTCAGAAAATTGAAGTGTGTCATGAGACAAAACTGCTATTAGTCTGTTGACATTTTAATCATCACCCCTAATAAATCACTTTTACCCCATTTGGGGTAACACCCCAGTTTGCTGAACCCACCTTAATGGTGTTAAGTAAGTATTTCGTGAGTGTCAAAAGAATGTAACTTACGTTTACTCTAGTACAGCGTTTCTCAACCTTTAACAAATTCCTTTGTACTTGTACAACTCAATTACTAAATGTATTTCACCAGTTTCTTACTTTGACATAAGGTGACAGCTGTCATTTTGGATACAATTATAGTTAATATAATTAAGTATAATATTTGTGTATTAACTGGTCTATTATATTGTATGATAAATAGTATATTCTATATTCAACGAAGAAAATTGTTACAGAGCAGTGTGACGTGAGACAAAAAATATATTAGTCTGTTGACATTTCAATCATCACCTCCCCAATAATTCACTTTTACCCTATTTGGGGTAACAGCCCTAATGATAAGCAATAATTAAATATTTAGTAAGTATCAAGAGAGTATAACTTACGTATACTCTAGTACAGCGTTTCTTTATCTGTTTTCCGCGCAAATCAACAAATTTGTTCGTAGTTGTACAACGCAACTGATAAGTGTATTTCGTCAGTTTCTTACTTTAACATAAGGTGACAACTGTCATTTCGCGATCCATTAAAAAAATTAACGCAAAGCATTTTTGGGTTAATTCATATTTTAACAATATAGATTTATACATTATGTATTTGTTATTTATTTATTATATTAACTTATTTACTATTTACGTGCATTTTTACCTAAGAACTCAGTCTTTGATATTAACTTATTTTGTAATATTAATATATTGATTGCAATAATTTTCATATAATATATATAGTTGTATAAAATCGAAAGTTTTCTAAGCAGCTTTCGGAATTAGTCGTATTTTTTAGTTAAATTTTTTCATAGATAATTTCCACTGAGTAAACTGTTTTTTTATAAAATATACCATATTTTCCAAGTATAAGACACAACCTTTTTCGAAAACTTAAAGATCTAAAAACTGAGTACATCTTATATAGTATAATGACAATTAAGTCATAAAGTATTTTTTTTCAATTTCGGGCTTCAAAATTAAGGTGCATCTTATACATGAAAGCATGCAATACAATACATCCAACTTCTTCATTTTCTTTTTCCGAATTATGATCTAATTTGTGTTCGTTAATAATAATTTTAGAATATTTTAGTATCTTATATATATATAAAACTTTTTTATTAAATTTAAAACATTATTTTTGAACAAACTAACTAAATATTATTCTTGTATAAAGTATTATTTTTTTCTATTTAAAACCTATTTTTTATATACTTTATTGGTCAGAAATTTATTGGAAAAAATATTTGCAAAATCAATCAATCAAAACTAAATAATTGTAAATTGTATAGTATAAACCCTGAAGAGATAAAAGTAAGATTGTATAATTAAACAAAATAACTTTTGATTTATGTTACAAAATTATTACAAATTATTAATGTCAACTATTTTAATATAATAACTAAATCTTAATAAAGCAGTGACAAATCGTACGT